AATGAATTACTAGCGTCTATTAAAATGAAGCGTCATTTAAAATAAAATAATGTTTCTATCATGGCAAGATAAGAAAAAGTGCGAGGGAGATGGGTATTATTCCATCTCGCTTCCTTATACCCGCCAAGGCCGTCTACACTAAGTCAGAAGGGGCCGTGACGGAAAAATCTTACACTTTTTCTCCCCTAGCCACCAATCGCCAAATTCGTACCGTGCGATAAGGAACTTCGTTCCAAAAACCAAAAACATCTCATGGTTTCCCGCTTATGGTGTTATAACATTCTTGTATACTAATGGCCAAATACTCAAACGTTACTGGATTTTAAGATGTCGTTAAGTCTCGTGGTGTCGCAGTCACTTTGACTTAAAGTGCGGCATCTTAAAATTCAACAGCGTTTGAATATTTGGGCATATTATGTCAAAGATGCGAGATGTCTAGTTCTACGATCGCCACTCCGCCTCTAAACGTGTTTTATAGCACATTTATTTATTTATTTATTTATTTATTTATTTATACACTTTGTTGTACTAAAGGTACAAACGGCGGACTTAATGCCATATGGCATTTTCTACCAGCCAACCGGAAAGTTAATGAGAGATGTGTATACTGCAGTAGGTACACACATATATATTCCTTTTCAATAGCACATATTCCTTTCTATGGTAGATTTCCATGTCCAGCATTGGACTATTATGGACTGATTAAGGAATGCATAGTAAACAAATCTTGAAAGGGCATTAGTATGAGGACATCGGTAGAATATTAGCGCTGTGGTTATTACACTTGCAATAGGAATCTTACCGCCTACTGAATTTGATGCTGCATTAATGATGGTGTAATAAAAATACATGTGGTACAATTATGAATTACGTAGCTTCAAATAAAAATGTTTCTTTTTATCTTTCTTTTCGATCCATAATAACGCCTGAGAATGAGGTGATCGCTACCTTCTCAATGTTGAAAACATTTAGAAACGCTACATAATTGTATAAAATATTATATTGTAAATTCATGTTCAAAAGAAGGGAGGATAATTGATTCGTCTTTTACAACAAAGACCCAGAAAATATACAGGAACACAAGCAGAAATTGCTTGATAAGGATTATTAATATATAATAAATATATACTACTAAAATGTAAATTCAAGAAAAACAACTTCCTTCTGCGTGAATCCCATATCTCTGGTGCCCTTTGACCTACAGGACACAAATTCAAACTCGACCGAGCTACTACCTCAAGGTATCCACATACCAAATTTAAAGTCAATCGGTTCAGTGGAACGGAAGTTATCGTGTCGGCATACAGACTAACAGACTGCCAGCTAAAACCATTAACTTCCTTTCAATGCTACGCAAAAGGAAGTTAATAACACCTGGGAATCAAGTAATCGCTACCATGGTGTTTCTAAATGTTTTCGTACTTTATTGTATAAAATATTATTTTGTAATATATGTATATACATTTTTTTATAGTCGCGCTTGCTTTACTGCTAATTTTCCCAGAAAAGAGGATTTCCGAAACAGTGGTAAAGCTTAAATTGTTTTTAATAAATATTCGTTTACTCTATATCGAACAAAAGTAATTCTATTCTATTCTATTTCTTTTAAATATTGGTTTAAATTTACAATAAGCCTGTCTGTCAGACATGTAACCTATAAATCAGAGCAAGTATGCAATAAGTGTTTAAAAGTAAATTATTACGTAAGCTTGTTGGCAAACAAAAATGGTCTGCTTTTATAATTTGCAAATAATGGAGCGCTCTCACCATTCATGTGCAAAGTCAACGACTACACGGGTTCCCATGAAGTCAATGCTAGGTTCGTGTACACTAAAAAATCGAGTATGAGAATATATATGAAACCTTTTTCTATTTCTAACCAACTAGTATTATCTATACATATAATAAATCTGTAGAAAAATTGTTTGTTCACGTTTCACGCAAAAACTACCGAATGAATTTCCGTGAAATTTTGTAAGTAGTCAGTAAATGATCGTGTATAACATATAGGTAACTTTTTATCCTATTACTGAAGGGTAAAAAAAGGGTAATAATAATAATATTTTTCTTTTTTTTAAGTTTATTGTCATTATTATGGCTGCTGATGGTTTTATTGGTAGAAGTAAAAAAGTAGAATTTAGCTATACGTATAATAAATCTTTTTTTTTATAGGATCGGGTGACAAACGAGCACACAGTCCACCTGATGGTAAGTGGTTACTGTGACCCATAGACATCTACATCTATCCTCAATAAAGACTCAAGATGCAGATGCGTTGTCACCCGTGAGGACTAAGATGGAATGCCTCTTTGCCAGTAAAAAGGGTCTCCGGTTCTCTATAAAAATCTATAAAAAAGTGTGTATGTGAAAATTAAACTCATCGCGCCACCAACCAGTAAGGGCAGAATAATGTCTGCCGGGCCAGCTAGTGTTAACATAATATTGTACTACCAGTCATAAATGTATTTTATTCGCGGACGATATAATCGTAAATGTAAGCACTGATAAGAAGCAAAATAATTCAATACGTAATCATGAAATTGACATTAACAACACGATTGTTACAATTATTAAATGGTTAGACAGAAACAACTTAAAAATTAATTACATTATATTCAATTTAATAAATTAAAACACACAAAATACAATTTTAATCTTAATATCAACAAATTAAACGAAGTAACACAAACTAAATTCCTAGGTGTAATAATCGATCAAGATTTAAGCTGGAAACGTCACATACATCACCTATGCAGTAGAATTAACCAATTTGTTTATGCACTTAATAAAGTAAAAAAATGTTACAGACAAAAAAACTGCTGTTCTAACGTATCACGGTTACATAGAATCTTTACTACGTTATGGTGTTGTAATATAGGGCAATGGTACAGATAAACAGAGATTATTTACTGCATAAAAGAAATGCATTAGAGCTATTGGTGGAATCGCACCGGATAAATCCTGCAAACCAATATTTAGGAGCCTAGGTTTGTTGCCACTACCATCTCTGTATATCTACGAAGTTTGTAATTTCGTACATAAACATAATAATCTGTTTACAAAGGCATATGATATTGTGACGCCTCATAATTATTATTAATAAATAATAATTAAATTCATTTTAAAAACATTTAAAAATGCCATAGAAATTATATTTTAAACAATTAAAATGCAAATAATAAGCATAAAGTTCAAATATATTCATTTGGAATATTGAATATATAGTATTAGTAATCGCATAAATTGTCTCTAAAAATCTCAAAATTTATTAAAAACCTGCTTAAAATATTCAAAATGTATTAAGTCATATAAATAGAAGTCGATTATATTGCAATAATAAAGATAAATAATATTTGTAATATAATAGAAAAAATGGAAAGTTGATGAAGGTGTTCTTGTAATAATTGGAAAATTTCTAAGTTGATGAACGTGTTCTTGTAATGTTCCCTTATATGGGGGCGTTGCCGGAGACGCATACCCAAGAGTGTACATATATATGGGGTGGTCGGCTGACCGACTACTAGTACTAAGGTTGCACAATGACTAGTCCTACATTAAGGACTTAAGTAAGGTCTAACGAACCAAAGCATTAATATAGAAGGTATCTATGATGCATAAGCATTATGATAGCAGAGTTATGACTTGAAGTCCCACATGAATAAGACATACAATAGTATGGTCTATAAAATAAAGCAAATATGTGGAAGGTCGCAAAAATGTATGCATTATATTGAAAGAAATGGGACTTGAAAAGAATTATTATAGTGGCGTGTAGGTTGCTTCGCACCCTCCGAGACCGAGGTAAACTTGGGCTCGCTAACCGATATGTCCTAGACATATCATCTTAGTGTTGGTGCTAAGCGGGTTTGTTGTAGCAATACGACTTGCCCGTGGACATCGCACACCCCTACCGTTTGTGGGCGACGTTAGCTAGCGCAAAGCCTTATGATACGTCGGCTATCTTTCGGATTAGGGTGAGTGCGTTTGGTAGTACTTTTAAGTGCAGCAAGCATACTCAACTTCATGTCTTAGTGCAATAGCGCTATGATACGTGTAGTTTTGGCTACTGACGCCTTAGTGCCGTGCTACTATGATACGTTGGTGGTATTTTTAGTAAACAACATTATCAATTTTGTTACCAAAGTCGATAGGGATCTGTGGGTGTGTCGTGAGGGGGCGCCATCCGTATGATAGTTGCATTGATGCTTACTGTTACTTGCAGTACTGTGTCTTGTGATGGATCTGCGGGTATGCTGCACCTGATTCGACACATCTTGTGGTTCTGGTCGATGGAGGTATGTGGGTGGTGATGTCTGCTGAGACTGTATGGGGGACCTTGGGATGGTGTAAGCCTGACGATAATCGTATTGATGCTTGTTGCGCTCTGCAGCATTGCGTCTCTACGATGTTTGTTTGACGCGTCGCTATCGAAAGAAAACATCGTATGTCTGATGCATAACTGTTTCAATAACATAAATAGATCGTCAATTGACTTTGGAGCAGTGTGGTGAAAATCGCTCCATCACCTTATCGAAAATTAAATTATAGCTGTGGTTACTTGTATAACTTTACTTTTTATTTTACTTAAGACATTATTGTGCAAATTACTACATAGTACTTTCAGATTCTATAAATAGTTTGTTCTTTGTTTCAGGACCGAGCAAAATTGAGATGTTCGCGTGTTCAAGGTGAAACTATCCTCTCAGTGGCTTTTGAGATGATGTGGTCTTTCAGCAGCATTCGACATCAAAACATCTAGATTCAATTTTACTTAAGATTTAAGCCAAATAACAAAGCTGATATATAAATAAGTCTCTAGGAAAAGAGACTGCATGAAAAGATACTAACTGTATTAAAAGATGTTTAAAACAAAGAATATTAGAAAGAGATGCATTTAAAATGACCTTCGATTCATAATTATAATGTCCTTAGAAACAGTAAAGTATAGATTAGAATTAACTATGTCAAGAATATAAAAAAGATTATTTTAAAAAAGCAAAATGTCGACCAGCAACGACCTCAGCGACGTAGATACCTCACCGAAATTGCGAATGAAGCCAGCAGTTAGTAAAATTTTCTGCTGCAGCGTGACTGCGGCGTCAGGATTCATTGCTGCATATGCTCTAGTAAGTATAAGTCACGTTGTCGTAGCGTAATACTAAACTGCATCACCACTTACCAGCGGGTGAGAGTAGTCAAGCACTGGCATATTTATATTAGGTTACAAAAACGGAGGTACATATTTTTAAATGATATTTAGTAGGCGTAAGAGAAACTAAATTTGGTACAACCGACTTCAATATAAAAAAATTAGAACATCATCGATGTAGTCGAAGTCAATTAAAATACGCATTATTAAGGATAACTCAAAAACTACTGGTCCTGATCTTGATCAAATTGATATGAAACCACATGAGAAGCACCAGCATTAAAAATAAAAAATAATCATTACAATCGGTTCACCTAGAAAAAAGTTCTGATGTAACACACACAAAAAAATACAGATGAATTGAGAAACTCCTCCTTTTTTTTTAAGTCAGTTGATAAAAATACAGACAAACGCAACTAGTTCAATTACGAGTATGATGTAAATGTACGAGTAAGTTACAGTATAGCAATTAGCGAGTATGTCCGTTTAATGATCAAGTGGATGTAGTTTTTCAACATATAAGTTCATTAATAGTAGGCAAGGCATTAATTATAAAAATATTAAATCACCGTATAGTGGCGGTGTAAGAATATCTACTATTATACTCGTTATAAAGTTAGTTAAAGTTACAGCCTATATACGGCCCACTGCTGGGCACAGGCCTCCCCTCATTTCTGAGAGGGTTTTAGGGCAAGAAAGTATCCGCCGCGCTGCCCCATGCGTGTTGGCGAACTTCACATGTCTTCGAAATATTTTTTTCTTATTTCTCAGACATGCAGGTTTCCTCACGATATTTTCCTTCACCGCCGAGCACGTGGTACATCAGCACTTAAAGTTGCAATTAACAATTTTTTTTTGTTTAAAGAACGTTACCCCCACACTAGGATTTTCTCCTGAGTCGTGGAGGCAGTTTACAAACATAAATTGCACAAGGACAAACATTCAGACCCGGAACAATTATTTGTAGGCCACACAAATACCTGTTCCGTGCGGGATTCGAACCCGCGGCCCCCAGCGCAACAACTGATTGCTAAGCCACTGCGCCACGGAGCCGTCAAATTCCGTTTAATTTCATTGGTTCCGGCGGGGATTGAACCCCGGTTGCTCGCGTATTGTGAAACTTCAACGTATACCTAACTTATATCGTACCGTATCGTATTATTTACACCTGATAGGGCCATTCTGCAGCTATATTAATTGTAGAGTTGTAGCACGGTTGGGTCCGCTCGACCGGGGAAGGACCACGCTCTCACAGAATACCAGCGTAAAATAGCAGCTTAACACTGCTGTGTTTCGTGTGGTGAGTGTAGAGAACCGAAGACCCATTTTACTGGAAAACAGGCATTCCATCTTAGCCCTCACGGCTGACAACGCATCTTCATTTTGATTCGCAAACGTGGAAAAATGTGGATGTCTATGGGCCGCAACAACCACTTACCATCAGGTGGACTGTGTGCTCGCTTGTCGCCCATATCCTCTTTTCTCGCTCAAAGACTAGCTATTCAGCGGGGAACGCAGCCAGCGTTCTTGGCACGATACCGCGGGGAGTAGAACTGTATGATAATTAAGTTAGTAGCTTAATTTTTTTATTATAGTTTTTAATATTGTATATAATAAAATATTGTATATTATGTTATGTACATAAATTTTAAATTTTCAATAAATTTCAAACATGTTAAATAAAGACAACGATATTTTGACCGACCGATCAGTGACCATAAGAAAATACGAAAAGATGAAAGAAAGAAAGAAAAAATAATGTAATGACAGTGAATTAAAAAAAGCTTTTTACTTACAGCTTAGTTCGAAAAGTTCACTATGCTGGTCCAGTAGTGAGGCCGTATATAATCATAGTTATCTCACGTTATGTTGAAACTGGGTCTAAGCGAGAGTAGTAACGCGTTTTGAATACGTAATACAGATTAGCCGGCGATTTCTGAGAACTATTATTTTGGCTAGTCTTCGATTGCAGGTCGCGATTAACATTTTAATATGAAAATTGTGCAATTCTGTAACGTAATGTGAGATTTGCTTCCATCTCGTTTACATATAATTTCTTTTATTTTAAAGTTTAGTGGCGTTTGTATTGTATAACATATTTACGTACGTACTTTTTTTTGTGATTGAGTCATCTATCCTGAGCTCGGAATTCGGAACTAAAGTAATATTTACGAAACTGGAGTTTTTAATGATTGAATTTCAAGCATTTATTGCTGAAAAAGAAAAACACGTGTGCGGTTCACACGCTTTAAAAGTGAAACCATCAGAAAATTGCAAGTAAAATTACTTTAAATTACTTTTAATTCATCTACATACTTCATTTCATAGGTATTCATATTCTACAGACTTCAAAATGGAGACGGTACTCAATACGACTGTATGTTTTTTTTTCTTTTTTTATGTGTGTTACCTCATAACTTTTTTCTAGCTGAACCGATTTCGATGATTATTTTTTCATTTGAAAGCTGGTGCTTCTAATCTGGCATATAAATTTGATCAAGGTAGGTATAACCAATAGTTTTTGAGTTATTCTTAATAATTTATGTTGAAGTCGGTTGTACAAAATTTTTAATTTTTAATTATTTAAAACAAAATTGGTATACATAAAATAGACGCTGGATGGCCTAAACACAACAAATTTAATGTAAATTGATAAGTCATGAAATCGAGGATTGTTATGAATGGATTGGATGTGATAATTTTATTCATTATGGTTAGTATTATTTTTAAATGAAACTAATTTTTACGGATTTTATCGCGTTTAATTTAACTATTTAATTCCCGACGTTTCGGGTGCTTTACAGCACCCATGGTCACTGGGGGGGGAAGATGTTTGACGTCCCGATGTCATAGTTAGCCGCTTATGTTTTCGAATATAAATTTTTGGTCCGATCTACGCAGAATGAGCTGCGTTTCATTTAATGTGTAATCTTCGCGTAAATATAAGAAATTAGTATTATTTTTATTTATTTCATAAATTTGTTAATTTTTTTATCTGTTTATTTTAACAATTTTTAGTTATATTAACCATTTTTAAAGCACCGCACAAAGAGGAGACCAAGTTATTAGGAAACACTGTATATTGTATTCTATCTCTCGCAGGCTAAATCCTATAGGATAGGAGGATAGGTAGTATATGTTTCTCTCTTTTTAGGGTTTTTCGCTTTTTCGTTTCGTCGAGTTTCAAATCACAACTATTCTAAAGAAGTTTTTACTTAAAAAAGAATACAATCTTATACGGAACATTCGGGATCGTGCTTTATTAATCTTTTTAATGCAATACTGGAAATAGTAGCGGCACGAAAGTCTAGCGGTAACCGTTATTGCGCATAAGTCGAAAATAAGGTATCATGGGGTAGTAAGTAGTTCGCGGGGCGGGCGTGTGTATCGTACGCACGCGCTGATTGGTTCTCCAGTCGCATTGGTGCAATTCAATTCGTGTGCGACAGTACCCATGCGCAACTATCCCCTCCACATTTCATTCAGTGCTAGACTTACATGCCGCGACTTGTAACCACTTTGTTTCTATTTTTATTAAGAAATACTTGTCTCGTACTGGAATCAGCCAATCCGCAGCCTGCCAAACGCTTAGCCTTTACTAGTGTAAAGACTAAGAGTTTGGCAGGTTGCGGATTTTAATTACAAATTTTAAGTGATACGGCTCATTTACTAACTGATAGCCCCTGTTACCTCTTAGAGTTTGTCTGGATTTGTATCTTATCACCTGATGGTCAAGAAGTAAAGTACCTACTGGTGTGTTCTGAATTGAGGGTATAGAGTACCAGTATAAAGACAGGCTGTGAGGCATTCCATCTTGGTTCTATGAAGAACTACGAATCTATGGACTGTTAACTCGTTTGTCGCGTAACTAATAGAAGTTACTTCATAGGACTTGTAATAGTGTAAGTGACAGGTAGAAAGACAACCATCACAAAGATTTTTACACCCAAAATAACAAAAGCGGTGACGGGAACCAACATTTTACTGCGAGGCAACATAGTTATTTTTTTTTACTAATTTTATGTACATCTAAAACAAAACAAAGTAAAATTTAATGTGGTAGAGCCCGTAGAGCCACGCTTCAGCTATACTATGAATGCCTCCCCTGGGTACTGTCAGTATCTCCCAGTATGATTTCAACTAAGGATTGCCTAAAAAGTTTAATAACTATAGATCACAGACATAAAAAACATGCGTGAGTGTCGTGGAACACTCGGTTGGAACGAAGTTCCTTTCGTAGTATATTATTATTGATAAACATATTATATTATTGATTGACAAATACAAATAAATGAATTAATTACTAGTGCCTATTAAAATGAGGTGTCATTTAAAATAATATCTTTCATGGCAAGATAAGAAAAGGTGCGAGGGAGATGGATATTATTCCATCTCACTCGCACTATAGAAACAGGGATCGTGACGGAAAAATCTCACACTTTTCCCCGCCTAGCCCCCATCCGTCAAATTCGTACCGTGCGATAAGGAACTTCTTTCCAATAACTCTATTATTATGTCTATGCTGTAGACAAACATCTATTTTGCTAATAACAAAAGTAATTTACGTGCAGAATAACGGAGTTACAGTATTATGATGATAGACCTTTACTTGTTTGTATTTTAGGTCGCATACGCGATAGCGCTAATTTACGAGATAGTATGGATTGTGGAGTCGCAGAGCGGGCTGCCGGTGCCGTCGGCACTGCTCATGGTGTGCTACTGCATCGTCATCGCTGCAACCGTCACGCTAGTGCACGGACTTATTTCTGTAAGTAACAATTTATTCATAATATATTGGCCGGAGACAAAGCGGTATAACTATGATGACTTTTATTTCCGTAACGTAAACATGCTTGTATTGAGTGTGAATAATGTGGGATGCTACGTGTGTATACACTTAGCAGAAGCAGCTGATATGTGGCGCAAATATGAGCTACATATTTGTGGCATTTGCTGTAAAAGCTATTGGACCGCGGAGCCCACGTGAAATTACTATGCGAGGGTTTGTAACCATGTCGTTAGCCAAGCGACAAATACCCAGTCCAACAACGGGATGCTACATCAAAAGTGCAAAAAATCTGGTACTCAAATCCTCAGGAACGTTTCCAACAATGGTCTTTTATGGGTTGAAAAAGACGAAGATATATGTACTGACTTAGCCTTTGCATCCTAGCCTATGTAGGCTATGATGTACGATCTTATTCCAAAAGCGTAATGTCAATCACGTTTTAGAATAAGTACAACATGCACGTATGTACTCTGGCGCAGTAAGTAGTTTCCGACTGATTTCTGTAGCCCGCGTTAAAATTAGCCATAAACATTACTTTATAATTATTATATTTTCTGACTGATTAACTGGTCCTCTAATGGTAAGCATATTTACAATGTTTGAACTCATTGATTTTTTTTTTTCAATTTAACACATAAGTGGATGTTCAGGAGGTTTTGATTCAATACGATATTAATACGAACGAATAAAATAGTACAAATCGCTACAACTATGTTAAAACTATAAAATTACTAGCTGACCAGACAGACGTTGTACTGCCCTTTCCAACGACCCATCCTATAAAAAAAATCCTTAAATTCGCAATAAAAAATATTGAAGATCTCTTATCGGGATAAAAAGTATCCTATCTTTCAAGTTGGACCAAACTGCACACAGTGTGCAAATTTCATCAAAATCAGTTCAATAGTTTAGGAGTTCATCGCGGACAAACAATGTGACACGTAATTTTTATATATAAAGATAACAAAAGTAAATATAATTTTTACAAACTGTGATTTCTTTCATCATAGATGAGATGAGTCGAGATCACAATGAATCCCGTTTTATATATCACTTTAAAATATGCTTTAATTTATTATTTGCAGAAAAACAACACATATCTGCTAGCATGGTTGATAGCTGTTATATTGGTGTTGATACCAGAATGTGCACTTGTCTTCTATATGTCCATAAGTCATTGGGTAAGTTAAACTTCTTATAAAAATTTTGTATTACTCAGCGGCAACTGTCATTACAACCAACAATGTAGGTATTACAAGAACATGTCCTCTACTATTTTACAAATGACCTTTGATGCAATTGCAAATTTTAAATACGCTATAAATTACACTATATACAACTTGATATTATATTATGTATATTAAAGAAAAATTGTTATTATTTTATATTTTTTATTGCATGAAGTTGATAAACAAGCTCACAGTCCACCTGACGGCAAGATGTTGCTGTGGTTTATAGACATCTACATCTATCCTCGATTAAGAATCAAAATGCTGATGCATTGTCTACCCTGAGGACTAAGCTGGAATGCCTCGTCAGTGAAAAGTGTCTCTGGTTCTCTACACTCACCTTACGAAGCACAGCAGCATTAAACTCTTATTTTACGCTGTTGTTCTGTGTGATCGTGGTCTTTCCCCAGTCGAACTGATCTATTTGTGGCATAATATAGTGCATAATATAGTCTCTATCACGTAAGATGAATGAATTACAAAACTAACGTTGTGGTCTGTTATTTCAGGGTCTACAAGGAGTGTACGGAGGCGCAGAGCTTGCGTGTTATGTCGCGCGTTTACCGGCCATTGTATGCGGTGTCGTGCTTGTGCAGTCTGCGTATGCGCTCAGAGAAGCTAGGCAAGGAATATATCTCTTACATTCTATTTCACATATTATTTGAATAACTTAAAAAATATAAGTGATTTAAAATGTTGTAGTGTCGAATTTCTATTGAAAATTTAATTGAATTTTTTTTAATCAGAAATTCTTACAAAACTGTTTCTTAAACTAACGTTCACCGCGTATTACTCGTATGTAGGTATGAAATAAGGCGTATAATGTGTATATAGGTATGCCTGTGTTTACGTGTAGTAAATAATGCAAATATAGTTAAAATATACCATCCCGCAGAAGTCGTAAGAGGCGACAGGTATAAATGAACTAGATGAGTAGCAGTGTCTTCATAATAACAACTAAAAAAATAAAAATAAACTCTTGCCAACCAACCTTTCCAAGGCTAGCAACTATAGCATAATATATAGCCCCTAGGGTCCCCTATCATTGGGGGAGACCTATGTTCAGCAGTGGACTTTTGATAGGCTGTAACGGTAAGCGGATCAGGCTAGTCTAGAAAATGACTGGTTATTTTGGAACGAAATAGTCTAGGTTATATTTATAATGATCAGGGGAGACTAACGCGCAAAGTATTCCAATCCGAAAGGCTTTGGATGCTTCTGAGATACGTAAAAAATAAAGGGTAATACAAATTGATTTTATAGCAGACTTTAATTTGAGTCGTTCCACAGTTACATGATGATGGATATGGAATGGACAAACAAGAGAACTCTTGTGCACACTCACCGTAATATTACCTGTAAAAATATATATTTCGAAAACATGTGAAGTTCACCAACACGCATTGGTGCAGTGCGCCAGACGTTTCCTTGCCCTAAAACCCTCTCAGAAATGAGAGGAGGCCTGTACCCAGCAGTGGGACGTACATATGCTGTATCTATAACTTTAACTTTAAGTTAAGAAGGCTTTAGTAATACAACAACTTTCTGCAAATCGTACGGAAGACCGAAGAGTACAATCTGACCGTAATGTTACTTGTAGAACACTCTCAGGTACACTAATATAATTTGAAAGTAAGTGAACGAGAGATGAGTAGACATGGCAATTATACTAGTTCGAGGCATCTTTTGTTTGCAAATTACTCATGTCTTATTAGCATTTTCTTACTATTCCTTAGCAGTCCGCACTGGAATGTTATAAGCATGATAATAGAAAGAATTAAACACTATGGAGTAATTTTTTTGAAGTTATACTTCTTTTGGGGCGTTTGGAAAAAATTCTGATTTCTGAGAGCGATTTTTTTACGATGCGCGCGCACACCGATAGCTAAAAACTACACAATGAAGTTGTTACCATGCGCGCGCGCACATACACCTCAAAGCGACAACTTCATGGGTAACTGTCTCTCAAGTTTTCGTGGGAACTGATAACTATATTTAATTTTTAGTTATTTTTGTTTTGTTACGCTAAAGAAGTATAACTTTACCTTACATAACTTTAGTATAACGTACATAAGCACACCAAAGACATTTAAGTAGTAGTAGACCTATATATTTAAATCTCTTTGAAGCACACACACACGTTTTTTATTCAATGTGGCTTATTACGTAATATTAATTAAAAGTATTTTTTTTATTTATTTACCACTGGTTTGGAAAATATCTCTGGCTTGGAAAGAACTAATGAGTTACCCAGTGTAATTATTCTTATTGACATGAAATTTTACAAAATTATTGTACATTTATTTAATATGAATTTTAATAGAAACGGCAATCAGCAATCACCCCATTCCCAGGGGCTATTTTCATCCATGTATTCCTTAATATTATGATTCCCTTTTTATTCAGTTCTTTTTTTAATAAAGTAACATATATTTTAGGAAAACTGGCTACAACAACGGTGCACCAGTGAGCGGTAGCGAGTTCGACGCAAGCCACTACGTGCCTGATGCTCCCAGCGCTTTTACTAACGACGGCTTTCTGTCTGACAACGGTAATTACCTTCAACGGCTGATTTATATACAAATTAAACCAAGTGACAAATCTATACGCGATAGAGCTCTACTGCAACTATATTATGGTTGTAGCAAGGGCCGGCTCAACTGGAGAAGAACCACGCTTTTACAGAATACCAGCGTGTTGCTGTGTTTCGTATGGTGGGTGTAGACTGGAGACAATTTTTAGTGAAAATGGGGCATTCTATCTTAGTCCTCAGGGGTGACAACGCATCTACATTTTGATTCTTGATTAAAGATATATGAAGATGTATTTTGGCCACAGCTACAACTTACTATCAGGTGGCTATGTGCACGTTTGGCACCCGTAATTTGTTAAAAAGACATCAGGCCTACCTATTTTAATTTTTTTTATAGAATAAAGGTGACAAACGGACACACAGTCCACCTGATGGTAAGTGGATCCCCTGAGGTCTAAGATGGACTGCCTCGTTTCCAGTAAAAACGGTCTCCGGTTCTCTACACTAACCATACGAAACATAGCAGCATTAAGCTGCTATTTTACAATGGTATTCTGCGAGAGCGTGGTCCTTCCCCGGTCGAGCCGACCCATTCATGCTACGACCATAACATAGCTGCAGCGTGGCTCTACCCCGTACAAAAGAAAAGAAAGATTTCCCTTGTTGTCACTCTAGGCAAGCGAATTGACGATCGTAGAAATAGATGTCTATCAACTATGATGCTAACAACTGTTGCTAGTCTAGTTATATGCCACCTAACTTAGAAACAGGGTTGTTCCGCCATCTCATTCGCATAGTTGCCTCTTACGACACCCATCCATGATACACGCCATCACATCTTATAATTATAATATACACAAGTTCATTTCTTATTTTCAGGTAAATCTGGTTCAATGCCAGACCTTCGCCATCACTTAGCCACTCGGCAGTCAATAAATCATGGATACCCAGTGGTTTTGCCACAACCTCCTCCTGGATACTGGCAACACTTGGCTGACCGACAGTACGCGGCCAGCCTCCGGGGATATCCGAAACAGTATTCCTCTCCACAAACATACGGAACTTGGGTTGGACCGAGATCCGGACCATACGATAATCCGTACAAACGCCGGCATTCGGTAGTGGGCGCATTCAGTGACGAATATCCGGCAAAGGGATTCGATGTGTATCCCGACGATCGGGTAGATTGCAAGAGCGAGATCGCGTACCCGTACTATCGGCCGTATCCTTACGATCCACGGATGTATCCGCCGGATTACGATCCGAGATTTTATCCGGATTATAAAAGAGAAGACGCGGCTTACGGCGTAAATTTACTAAGACACGAGCCATATCATTTTAGTGGGTCGAGAGAAAGGGTGTTTTATAATTTGCGTAATAGTCACACATCCGTAGGCAATGAGTCTGATGATTTGACCAAATATAAGGATGTAGCTCTGTAAATTTTTGGTGCTATATATATAACAATATTACATATGTGATAGAACTTATTAATGAACAGAGTGGTTTCCGTCATTTGATTCAAAACGAATTTAAAAAAGAAAAGAGAGAAGAAAAATAATTTTGTTCTGAGAGAATTCGTCATAAAAAGCATATCTATACAAATAAATAAAATTGAAGTGTCTGTTTGTAATGTTAAAATTACAGCTTTTTACTAAATTCATATGAAATATATCGGTACTAATAACAAAAATACAATTTTAAAGTCTTTGTCTGTCTGTCTGTCTGTCTGTCCGTCTGTCTGTCTGTTTGTTCCGGCTAATCACCGGAACGGCTGGACCGATTCTGACGGGATTTTCACTGGCAGATAGCTGATGTTACAAGGAGTAACATAGACTACTTTTATTTTAGAAAAAGAATGAGGGTTCTCCAAACCCCAAATAACACGCGGGCGAAGTCGCGAGGAACAGCTAGTATTATATAAAGAAGAAGGAATACACATACGTAAAAAAAAGGATTCAACATAATAAAGACCGCAAAAAACAGATATACTGATTAAAACGCTAAAAAGGCAATGAACCGGTCGGTGTATACAGATACTATTGATAACTATTGAAACGAAAGTTTCTCGCAGTCTTGTAGCGGCCCCCACTAGTGACAATACCATACTGTGTGGTATACAGGAAATCGATGCCCTGAGTCTGTATTTAGCAACGGACTTACGGCAGGTAGTAATGGTTAATTTTGTCGACTTTAAAAAACATGAAGTTGAGTAATATCGACCTTATTTCTGTTATATGTAAATAATTTTCCGGAGGCTAGTTAAGCGATTATGTTTTTTTTTATCGAAAAAGTTTCATAGTGGTCTCGCAAAAATTTCAACTGGATCCAAAAATGTAGTTGAAAACGGCTGATGAATTTTTAATTAAAGTTATATATTTAGGTTAGAATAAGTATCTTTACATTGCAAAATAAACCTCCCTGTTTACCGATAATGTTGTTCGGTTGAAAAAGGATGAAGTGAGTGTTGATATACTTAGATTGCATTTTACACATTTAAATATATCAATGTTTTAGTCGTACTTATCACATTGGAAAACAATTATAATATATTAAGTTACTATCTATAAGTACATCTGATCCTATTATAAAATTGGTGCTACTACGTTTTGAGTTACAGTTTTGTGCAGTGCTGATGCAGTAAGTATATTGAATGTGAAATATATATTATAAAATGAAAATGTACATAATATTATATAATACTAATAATACATAATATTATGAGAAATATATAAAAATATCCAAAAATGTCTGTATAAATGTATGAAGGGTTTTTGTCCGGGTTTTTCATTATCAAATTCCTATTTAGTGACTAATTTTAAATTAGTTTTTAACCTACAAAATCGATTTTAATGAAAGCTTAATCAGGTATTCATTATGCAATTAAGCGTCGAACAAAATTACGTCGGAGACAATGTTCATATTTATCGAAATATGCGAGAAAACAAAACTTCATTATGTTTAAGTTTAAGGTTAGTGAAACTACTAATACAACACAGAAATCTCTTTAAAAATGTAGATTCCGCGGGAGAAATGTTGAAATTTAGACATTTAAAAATTGGACACACTGCAACACCTTTGGGGTTTAATAAATAAAAGGTTAAACTATTAAATGTTCACCCATTTATATTTCTTAATTAAAACCTAACTAAAATAAATTACTGTGTACATAATGCATCTGATACCTATTATAGTTTAAAAAATCAAAAATCGAAACGACGCTACCTACTGAAGCACACTTATCCTTAATCCTTAATAAGTAATATTTATGGTGAGATGAAAAATTTATATTTAAAGTATTTTTAGTTTTAATTTTATATAGTTTGTTACCTAATAACCAAAGGTGTTTATAATTTGCTCTTATAAAATAAATGAACGAATAAATCCAGTCAGTATTTTTATAAGAAATTGAATAATAAAATCTTTTTTTACACAGCGCTTTTAAATTTCCCTCTTTTTGTTTTAACTATTAGGTATCCCTATGATTTATTTTACAATAGTTTATAACCTAATGATTAAGTTGTAGGGATCAAGTGGCTTTCACTCTTACCTGTTTCAATTCTTAAGTAGTCCGGTCAATTTAGACATTCGAAGCTACCTAAATTCCCACCAAGCTGAAAATCAGTAACATTGTTTAAAATATAATTAAAAATAAAATTTGAAAGTTCCTCATCTTTCCTCTGAATGGAATTTTTAATCAAGGTCAAAGGTCAAAAAAATTAGTATTTCGCGATTTTCAGCATAACGGTAAGTCTTATCATAAAAATACCTCAGATAAAAATTGTAGATCATAAAATTATCTACAAAAATATATCAATAATTTTTTACTACGAGCCACCGTTTTTGAGATATAACGATTCAAAAAGTTGTAAAAGTTGTAATCGTCATAATATGCACACGTTTCTACGCCACCTATGAGAGAGTGTACTTAGCGCGTATTTTTAACGTGGTTTCCTCAGTAGGCCTATTCCACGGGTCAGTTGTGATCCTGTTTAATTTGAAACTATTGCATAATAACGTATATTAGCAGAAATTGAAAAGATAAAAGCAATTTAAGTTAAAAAAAGTAGTGAAATTTAATCGTCCGAGTCGTAACTTTCAATTTCTTCTTCTTGTTCTTCTTTTTGATCGTCTTGTTCTTCTTCTTGATCTTCTTGTTCTTGCTCGTCTTGTACTTCTTCTTCTTGTTCTTCTTCATCTTCATCCTGAGTGCATGTAAACTGCGTTAATAGTGATGTATCGCATGTCGCCTCGTTGGAATCAAACGGATCCTCCGCTGTTGGTGATTCAACATTAGAGCACGACCGGCCTTGACAATGTGTACATGCCAGAGAACAAAACAGTCCGACTTTTTTGCAACCACATTTAGCACTGCATCCCTTTTTGCAGTTGCAAAAAATTGTGTTCAGGAGTTTTTCCGGCGCAGGTGGTAGTAAAGTTTGAACTGGTTCTAATTAATTCTTGACAAACTTCCAACCCCAGTCCGTAGGATCTAGCTGACAACCAAGCCACACTTGAACTTAAAGCATCAGAAAAAATACTATTGTGTTCCAGTTTGACGGCGACGTCGCCAGTCACCTCATCGGTCAAATGTTGTTCGTCATGATGTCATATAATATGAGAGGTTATAATATCATCATTATCTTAACACATACAGGGTTGTTTTTCAATAACCGGCCAAATTTACAGAGAAGGTTCAGAATTAGTAATATAGGCAAATGGTGAAGAAAATTTATTAAAAAAATGTCAAACATACTGTTGTTTTTTTATCTCTCTTTCTGTCTTTGTCCTTTTTATCTTTTAAATTCAAAATTTTAACTGATTTTACTGCGCACGCACACATTCGTAAGGTTCGATCGGTAGGCAAAAATGTCGTTGCCCATAAAACACATTAAATTTGGAATAATTTGTAATAATAGGAGAAGCCTTATTTACTCGTTTTTTCAAAAAATGCAATAACCATATATCATTATTTATATATTTGAACTTAAGTCTAAAATTTGGCTACTCTTTGAAAAATAACTCTGTATAAATAAGATTAAAGTGTCTGTCTGTGATATTGAATTAACTGACCAGAGGCTTCCATTAAACTTACCAGATTTTGAGTTGTCCTCATCAAACAAAACAAAAAAAAAACACTGCGGTTGCTAACCTGCCTGTCAAGCGTGGTAACTATGGCTACTATCCTTTCTACGAGCTTCTAGGTATATTCAGCAGTGGTCTTTTAATAGGCTGTAATAATGATGGTGATGAGCAAATACATTTAGTCGCTTCAGGTGGATATTATTAAAGAAACGCTTACCTGTAGGCAAGAGCGAATGAGCCACAGAACACTAAATATTACTCTTGGCAGAGGAATAAGCGGATAATATTACACGCTACGCACACACGTTTGTTTCGGCGTCCCCATAGATTGAAAGACCAAATAAAGATCAAAGAAATTTTGGAGAATGGCGGCCAGTCGCAACGGAAACTAGCAATCTGCGCTGGACAGGATTATAGTGCCAGAGTGTATGAGCAAACACAAGTGCACTCTCTATTCCCTCACTCCCATTGTCCGGTGGGACAGCAAACCAACACGACCAGAGGGAGATCAGGCGCAGGACCCAGAGGCTCTGTGTGCTTTCAGAGACACGGAGTGAATCGCAGCCAACTTCCTGACTCCGGGCTGCTACTGAAAATTTCTTGACAGAAAAAGGTGTGACGAGCGGGTAAGACGTTCAGGAAGTCATTGGATGTAGGTGACTCAGGGCCGTACTTTGTGGTAATCTATGAAGTGACCTGTGATCAGCAGCGGACTTCGGGCTATAGTGATAGTGATAGCGACACATATTATTGTTACATCTGTCATCATTTTATCATCAATACAGCCCTTCACAAGTCCACTGCTGAACATAGGCCTCCACCAAGGAATGCCACAAAGCACGGTCCTAAGTTACATCTGTAATGAAAGGAAAATTTAGAATCCAAATTCACCAGCTTTAATTAGAATGCCGGCCTACTCTCGACAGAATCGATCGAATTTTATTTGAACTCAGGGTAATTTCGCACTCTCATAATCGTAGCCTGGGGTTTAGCTCGGGGCTTCTCTGCGTGATAAGCTAGAAATGAGTATATCCGCAAAAGAACCAGAGCAACCGACATAGTCCAACGGATTAGTAAGCTGAAGAGGCAATGGGTCGGCTATATAGCTCGAAGAACCGACAACCGATGGGGAAAAAGGATCTCGACTGGCAGCTTCGTACCGGTAGGGCACTTGTGGCGCGGTCCCCCACTAGATGGAGTAATGACCTGGTAATGCATGCAGGAAATTGATGGATGTAGGTGGCTCAGGAGCGTGCTTTATATAATTACTTGGGGAAGGCCTTTGTTCTGCAGTGGACTTGCGAATTGCTGTAATGATTATGATGATTAAAACCGTATCCAGTGCGGAATGGGATGG